AAAAGTGCAAATTTGCAGCCCCTGAATTAAAATATTTAGGTTACAAAATATCTCAGAAAAGAATCGAGACAGACGAATCAAAAATAATCGCTGTACAAAAGTATCCGACTCCAAACACCGCGAAGAAGCGCTCTTCTTTTCTAGGACTTTGTTCATATTATAGGTCCTTTATAAAAGATATTGCAGCTATTGTTGAACCATTGTTAAAATTAAAAAGGAAAAAGGCAAGATTCTCGTGGACGGCCGAAGCCAATAGTGCGTTCGAAAAATTAAAGCAAGCATTAACGCAAGCCCCTGTGTTGAAATTTCCTGAAAAGGATGAGAATTCAGAAATTTCAGCGGATGCCTCGGATAATGCGGTTGGAGCGGTACTTTCACAAAATCAGGAGCCCGTGGCATTTTTTAGCCGGAACTTTAAATCAAACACAAAGAAACTATTCCGCGACCGAGAGAGAGGCACTTGCAGTTCTGTTAGCAGTGCAAAAGTTCCGAGTCTATTTTGGAAAGGCGCCAATAACAGTGTACTCTGATCATGCGGCGGTAACTAGATTGCACTCAGGGAAAAACTTATCCCCAAGGTTAATAAGATGAGCACTCAAGCTACAAGAATATAATCTGGTAATCAAGCATACCCCCGGAAAGGAAAATATCGTAGCAGATGCCCTATCCAGAACTAAAATAGATGAAGAAGGTAATAAAGGTGTAAAGGTGGCAATGCTCACACCATGTATAATAAATTCCCGAGAAACTGTAATAACCGAACTGGGTAAGGATCCTGAGTTTGGAAGCATTTATGAGTATTTAAAGGATCCTGAAAATTTTAGCCACCAAGATATTGTGGCGATAAGAAATAGGGCGGCCCATTACGGACTAATAGATGTTCTATTATTTTATACAAAAACTACGAATTCCAACAACGAATTTCGACCTGTTATCCCAGCTAGTCTTAGATTAAATATCCTGCAGGAGCTCCATGACAGCCCTTTAGCTTCTCATTCTCATGCTGGTATTCGAAAAACTATCCAACGCGTACGCGAGGCAGTTCTACTTTCCTGAACTGCAAAAGTTAACAAGGGCGTATGTCCAGTCCTGCCCAACATGTCAAGCAGTTAATTATATTAATTTCCGCCCGGCCGGGTTTCTAAATAGTATTAAATCCGAATTTCCAAATGAAAATAATTGGCATCGATTTATTGGGCCCTTTTCCAAAAAGTCAGTTAAATAAAAGTCGCTATCTCCTTGTTATGGTTGATCATTTTAGTAAAGTGGACCGAAACTGTTCCCTAAAACGAGCCTCCGCGAAATTAGTTACTGATTCTATTTTAAATAAATATATTTTAAAATACAGGGCGCCCCTAAAAGTTATATCGGATAATGGTCCTCAATTTGTAAGTAATGTATTTGAAGACATGTGCCAAAAACTGGGCATACGTCATTTAAAAATGGTCCCGTATCGGCCGCAATCAAATATAGCGGAACGGGTCAATAGAAATACAGTGAAAATTATCCGTAGTTATGTTAAAAATTTTCATAAAAGCTGGGATAACTATGTCAATGAATTTGCTTTCGCCCTTAGGACCGCAAAACATGATACAACGGGCAAAACTCCTGCTGAGTTATTTTTAGGCAGAAAGATTATAACGCCGTTAGATAAATTATTTTATGTGCAACAAAGAGCCCCAGAATTTAAAATGGGTGATATAGAAAAATTAATTAAAGAATACTGAAGGAGCACAGAGAAAACAGAAGCTGTATTATGATATGAAACGACGGGGAGTAACTTATAAAGTAGGGGATGAAGTGTTAAAAATTAAGCATTCACTTTCTTCAGCACCAGAAGATAAAACTGCCAAATTTTTTCCACGATTTGAAGGACCATATGTCATAGAAAAAATAACTCACGCTGTAGTGGTTTTAAAAGCGAGGAATGGCGAAACATGCTCCTCAAACATTGAGCAAATAAAACCCTACTATGATCGTAATAAAATGCAAATTTCAAAGATCTTTTGCAGGATCCGGCACGGCAGACACGGCAGGCACAAGCTCCAGAGGTGGAACAACGTCAAGCAAGCACAAGGGACAAGCCATTAGGAGGCAGGAGCAATTGAAAAGAAAGTTTCCCCGCTGGAAAATTGAAGGTAACAAGAAAAAGAAGCCGTTCCACCGTCCAGAAAAGAGAGCTCACGAACACCCCCAGAATGAAGAAGGGAGAAGTACGACGAATCCAAAGAAAGCCAGGAGAAATAACGGCAACTATAACCCGGTTCCCAAGCGGAAGATCAACTCATCGGACAGGACTCTCCGCAGCAAATGTCGCCGAACTGCGGAAGGGCCACCAGCGGCGGAGGAAAAGTTACAAGGAAAATTTGAACGGCCAGCAACGAGGTCCAAGCAGGAACGCGAAAGAAGTGTTCCGGTTCCGCCAAGACCAGCTGCCATCAAACGGCCAAGACCACAGGCAGAAGCGAAAAAGAAGGTATTCAAGGGTGACCGAACTGGAGGAAAAAGAAAGCTTCTACAGGAAGCCTCTGAAGGGCGAGCCCGCACAAGAAGGAGGATAAATCAAACCAGAATCTACGCTACCTTCCAGGACTGGGCTCAGAAAAGAATGTCCGAATATCACAAAGATAGATAAAATTTTATGTTACTTTGCAAACTTAAGTTAATCTTTCATTCTTACTGCAAGTGGCAGATTTCAAGACGTTTTACCTCATGTGAGGTCTACCTTTATCGCCAAAAAGGCGACAAATGAGTTGTTACCGATTTTGGTATTATGTTTTTCAATTACTCGCGTGTAAAACTAAAGTTGATGTATAATAGGAATGTGTAAATACTTAAATATTGTAAAAGTTATTGTATAAATTTTATTTAAAACATTCTGGCAAGAAAGAAGTTTTAGTCTGAATGTAGTTAGGCTCTCTGACGCTACACTTCAGAGTTAGCCACTTTCAGAATAGTACCTCAGGGTTTACAGTTGAAGATAGGGTGTGTTACGAGGTCTTGTCATGTTGAATTTTAACACGTTAGTGTTTTGATTGTAGGAGGCAGTGTTGAACACGTATACATAAACACATTCGTGCTTGGTGTTCTTTTACAACACATGTCAGAGAGCACGGGGAGAGATAATTAAAATAGTCATGAATGAAATAAGAATGTTAAGAGAAATATAAATATGCATGTTACTTGCCATTTCATTGTGTAACATTTCATTAAACTAGTTTTCCTTCCAGATCTCTGGAAGGAACCAGATTTGAATAAAAGCTCCTGTTTAGATGGAGTACAGATGAAAAATTGGGTGTCTATGGAGCTGCTGTTGTAAAATCATTTTTTTTTTTTTAAATTTTCTAGTTTCTAGTGAGAAATGTTTGTAAAAGATTGGCCTCGCGTTAGATTCTAGAGCTAAAAGTTTTCAACAAGGTCGTTTTAGACCTCAGTTTCAAACTAATTAACTCTGGCGGGAAGTATGTAAGGATCTTAAGTTTTACTAACGTTTATTTTATTTTAAATCTTTACTATCACTTCTTATTTTCTACTTCCGGCCAGAATTAAAAGCGTTAACTCATTTATGCAAAATTTGTCTGGCGAACGCCAAGTACTTAAGTTGTGGCTTTTTGCCAAGCTAGAGAGAGGAAGGAGTTAGTCGAAGCAGGCCGCTTGCCTTAGAAGTTTTTTATTCAGTTGCTGTTTGCCTTCCAGGCCAGAGGTTTAATCCTCGTGATAATTTTAAACGTATTGTAGTGTTAACAGTTCTCTGTACTACATACGGTTTCCTGTTAATATCCGGCCAATCTTCCACGTTTATTATTCCAAAGTTAAGTTAGAGTTTAGTTAAATATTTTTATATTCTCACGTTCAGACCACAAGTAGTTGGTCTCTGTATTCCGAAGTACGGAAATTATTGTAAAGAGTGAAAAATAAAGGGTTTTGTATACCCTTCTTGTGTATCCTGTCTACTTCCCACAGTTATTGAACATAGCTTTAGTAAGCTCCCTGTTCCGAGTCAGGTCCTTGCATGTTCCCAAAGAAAGTAAGACGGAACATTGAACCTGATAACATTACTTATTTTGAATAATCACAAAAAGTTCAAAATTTCAAAACAAAATTAATTTTCATTATTATACCTTGTATTTTAACATAAAATTTTATAACAGTACTAGGTGGGGTACCCGGCTTAGCTCAGGGAGTTGATATGAGATTGTGTGATAGTTGGAATAAAAAATTAAGCTTTAAAATATAAGAGGTAAAATGTTTTTATTGAAAACATATCCAAATTATTTACAATACTTGTTTATGAACAATATTTTTCATTTTGTTATCCGGGCTACATATAAATTTTCGAATTTCTTACTCGAGAACAAGCTACGTATAACTGACTGTGAGAAAAGTTGATATTACTTGATATATGATATTTAATTGCTTTTTGAAATAGCCACTCCGGATTGGCATAGTTGTGAACAATGTTTGGCTAAATTTGGTCGATGAGTTCGTTTACAGTGATGGCAATGTTGCAGAAATCACTATTGAGTTCAATGACGCCAGTCGTCTAGTCAGTGGGATATTTGCCTTCACCTATTTATAAAAGGGTTTGAGCAAAATGTGCTGTTGTTTTGTCTTTCGATAGTTCAACTCTCATATTTTTCGTTAGTCACAGTATTTGTATGATTGACCAGAGATGTGTTTTTTTAAGCACGCTTTCTTTGATTTTATCTGCTGGCGTTGACTTGGGGATAACTGGAAGTATTTGTCGATTGTGGAATGCTTCATTTATGTTAGGTGGTACTATATTTACTTGTCCTCGTCCTCTCTTCTCGTAGAGTGATGTTTTCATGGGGGCTTGCGTTCACAATCTTTTACTATAAGACTGTGTTAGAGTTCTTGATTCTTCAGTTCGTTCATTTCGTTGTTTTTCGGTTCCCCTGCTTTTCACGGTGCTCATTCTCCTTTGTTGAGAACGTAAGTTGTGCTTCGCGCTTTTCGACTGTTTTTTTTTTTTTTTCTTCTTTTGGCTGTTCTTTTTTTTTTTTTTTTTTTTTTTTTTTTCCATTTTGCTTCAGAACTAGCAAAAATCTCCTCTTATTTTACGTTTGGGCATTCTATAAAATATAAATCAAATCAACTTTATATTGAGAAATACACTAAGTAGACTTAACACACGTTTCATAATTTATTTTCGATTTATATTCAGTATCACTTTGATTACTAACACTTCGCTGTTTTTATTCACTCACTGCCCTTCACTGATTCACTGATAAGAAACTGAAGTTAGATCCCCACTACGGATGCTGTAATGAATAACTACCCACATTGCTTCTTCTCGTCAGTGAAAGTAGACTGCTGCTTGTTGCTTCTCTTCTTATCGCAAAGCTTACAAAAATGTAAATATTTTGAAATTAGCCTGATTACAGCTTCAACTGGATTACGACCGCCAACTGAATCATTACCAAGCAAAAAATTATTATCATTTTCTTTTCAGCAACTTCCATTCCTTCGCATCCTGGCGCTTACTAAGCTCTGAAACGATCTGATTCATTAGAATTACAGGAAGTAAACAAATTTCTCTATATCACTGCGAAAAAATGAAAGGGAAAATGTTTTCGAAGGATCCTTTATCCTAAAGCCTTTTGCCTATACATTTTTCCTCAGATGCCTGCACTATGACATCAAAATTATCTATGGCTCTTTTAAAGGAATCAGAAGTAGATTAATTATAATTATTTGATCTCTCGTAAAGTCAGGCTCCAGCATAAAAATGACAACTGAATTGTATACCAAATAAAATTCCTGTCTTTGTTTTGGCTTTTAAATTCTAATTTGTTTCATTATTTATGTAATTATACTTCATATTTAAATAATTATAGCATTTGTTTATTTAAATTTAAATAAAAGATATATTAAAAGAAACCAATCCTTTTTCTTTTCTTTTTTTTATAAACATTAAAAAAAATTCTTCATTAATCTGTTTTAAATCAGTAGTTTTGCAATCAAACTGATCAACGGCGACTCATGTTCTAAGCTGAATGAAAATAAGGAATTAAAGATCTAGTATGTACATACCTTTGAGATAAAGTTGTAAGCACACACAGCTAGCAGTTGGAAGATCTTTGTTTGAGGTCCTTTTCATTTCCTTGCGTTTATTTCCCTTTAAATATTTATAATTTTTATAAGATAATTATAAATTTCTAATTCTATACACGCCAGAATATGAAAAACATTTTTGTACCTGGAAGCATACGCCTTCGACTAAAGTTTGCAAAAATAAATTATAAGTGAGGACTGTAATATAGTGGCACTCTCCCTATATATATATATGGAAATTACAATTCATGTTCAAACAAAACACACTTAATAAAATATTAATACATCTATAATATCGTTCATCTATTAATACAACATCTATAACATCAAATATATCTATTAACACAACATCTATAACATCATATATGTATTAACGCAACATCTATAACATCGTATATCTATAAAACAATATCTTACATCTCTTCTCAGAAAACAAAGTGGCGAGAGTTCTATCAATTTCACTCGTGCAGTTAACAGCTAAAAATTAGACAGCGCGCGAGGAAAAATATTAAGCTATGGATTTAAAATATTCCCCCCATATATATATATATATATATATCAGAATTTGTTTTGAAGTTTTATTTTTTATTTTTGAAAATCAGAAAATAAATTTAAATGTCATCTGGTTTAAATTTAGACCATTAATATATGAAAACTGTTTGCAACTTAGCAGCAATATCTGCATTAAATAATGTGTGTGAAGAGTTTTAATTTATGCATTTAATACTCTCTTTTCACTAAAATTTTCTGTTGCTCAAGCTGGAAATACTTTTCGAGATTCTAATTAAATGCTGCAAGTTAAAGGAACTAAACAAATTGCTAACTCATTTTTAACTTTATTTACATTTCAGCAGTAATTGCACAAAAATGCAATTTTAGCTTAATGAACCTCTCCTAAAATTGCATTTTATAAATTAATTTTGAGGAAGAAAGTGATGGAGTGGAATATCTAGTTTTCTTTCGTCAGTAATACTTATGTGTTGCTGAAACTTTATATTATAAAAGAATATCAAAATTTGTGCATCAGCGAAATTAGAAATAAAACGTAAATGTTAAACAAGGTTTTACGTACGATTATGCATAATTTAAGACCAGAAGGAGAGCAGCGTAGAAGCATTGTAATTGAACCTTTATTCTAATGGTAATGAGGATAAATGCAGTATCAATTTTCCATTAGATTTTCTAAAGAGAATTTTATCTTATGTATGGTTTGTAACGTTTAATTTTTCTCATATTGAATATTTTTGAAATTTTTCTAGAGCTAATGAGTATTTAACTATCTATCTACCAATTTATGTATTGTGTATCGCACATACATATCACACATGTATATCTATATCTATATCTTTATCTATATCTATATATAATGTCGTATGACCTTAAATTCACTTAGTTCGAAAAAAAGTTTTTCTAATAGTTTCTAATTAATTAACAAGTTTCTAATCATTCAATTTCTTAAAACAAATTTTTAATTAATTATTTACCAAAGAATTTAACTTCCAAAAAAATTTACAAAAGCAAAAATTAAATTATTACAAGCACACTTATAGATATATAGATGATCTTATTACATTTAATAATTTTAATAAGATTGAATACTCCGAGATTTATACAAAATGCCTTACACTTAATAAAACTAATAATTCGCAAAGTAACATTGACTATCTCGTTCTTTCAAATCATTAACTACAAAAAACTTTTACTGTTTGACAAAACAAGAACTTCAGTTTCAATACTAACAAATTAATAAATTGGACTTCCAACATCTCCAAAAAAGTTATTAGTAACACAATAATAAATCAAATAAAACGTATTAAAAATATTTGCACAGATACGATAGATCTACAACGCGAAATTTTGCTCCTAATTAAAATTCTCAAAAATAATCTAATACCTAATCAATTTATTAACCATTGTCTTAAAAGAGAAGCCGTTAAATACTCACTCTAAATAATAGAAACTAACTCTAAATAATAAAGTTAACTGATAGGGATATGATAATTTGTTCCTAAACCTGAGATGGCGGTATAAGTTGGATGACTATCAGTTGGAAGATTTGTACATAGTGTAACTACAAAGTTGTATATAATGTAAAAAGCTAATTGTTTTCAGACTTTTCTTATACTGTTACTAAAAAAATGAGCCTATTTCATAATTTTTAGTCTGTCAAATAGCTCTTTGACAGTGAAAATTACATTTTTCCTTTTCTTAATTTCTTTCTCATTCCGACACGGCAATTAGCCAGAAGTTAATTAATTTCCGTTCACTAGTTAGTATATACAAAATTTTAGCAGTCGTTTTCACTCCCATAAGAACTCAGCAACAAACGTTCCTCAAGCATTCCTAGTCCCTCCCATGTCCCATAAATTACTTCTCACAAGTTTCGCTGCCTGACATAATTCAAAGCCCCGGCTGCCGATTAGGAATTTCGAACACATTACTCTTCTCAGTAAGACACCGAAGAGAACACTTTACCCACATCCCACTAGAAACTAGAAAGAACGTAAGCTAATTAATGCATTTTCTTTCCTTTTATATCTTCATGTACATTACCTTTTTTCTTATTATATATATATTAATTTCAGTTTTTATTATTTGATTTGTTTTTGCAAAGATAGCATTATGCTTCTTAATTTTTTAATGTTTATTCCAATTACTTTAAGTTCTATTTCATAATTCCAATTAAGATTACCAATATTTAATTTTGTACAAATAGTTTTGACTTACATGTATAAAAGCGAAGGTGTCGGGGGACATTTACTCAAGTATTTTATCAATTTTACTACATAAAATTGCTTTTCACTCAAAATTTGTATTAGCGAAAATGCTTAATTCAGAATGAGTTCTTTGGTACTCTACTTTGGTTCTAAATCCCATCACTTCACGGAACTATTTGGCCTAACTTAATCTGCCAGTTTGGCATCACAATTATTACTTGAGTAAAAGAAGAAACACCTTCGTATTTATTAATTATTGTTCATTGAACGTGAGTTGGTTTGTTCCCCTTGAAAAGTCAACTAATTTCCGATCAATAGCGATAATTACTTGCTTTTAATTTAATTTCTTTTTCAAAGTTTGAAATTTTGTTATTCATGATTTAATTCAAGTCCCCGTAAAACATTTTTTACAATTTTACATTCAAGTTACTTTAAAACACAATTTTCGAAATTAAACTTCCTACATATGGGTTCACTCTTTTTAGGTACTTCTACTAAATTTATATTAGGAGTTATTTAATTTGGGGACTTCCTCATTCTATCTTAGAAATAGCGCCACGTCTGTCTCTTTTCGCTTAAGCTTTCATCCTGTTAAGACGCTTTGCTGCAATCATTTATGTGCTGCTATGCTAGCTTCTACCGGTATAGTATCAAAATTATGAATATTCTCGAAGTGAGCACGATTTGAGTGCCAGTGAATTGTGGCCACAAAATGTGAATTTAAATAAATGTGGAATTTTTCGGCACGACTGTTTCTTCATCAAAATGGATGGATGCCCTAAGCATCAAGTATCTATGCAATTAGCATTTCTGCGCATCTACCTCATAGTGTTCTTACATTCAATGCTTCAGATATGTTGTGTTAATATTACATTTATTAGTACTACAGGATTGGACTATGCTGCTAACCTCAATGGAACATTTATTCCTCAGTTGGATTTCTGTAAAATAGTATCTGCAAATTCATCATTCTAAAAATTAGATATCATCGAGTGAATATGGTGTTCTTAAAATGTATATATATATACTGTAAATGAGGCGTATTCGGAAACTAAGTACCGTTTTGAAAAAAAAAATAGTAAAACAATTTTTTCGAATCCAATTTTATTTTTACATGAAAATACATGTCTTAAAACTATTTTCAACATAGTTTTCCGCCAATGATCCAAACACTTGTCATAGCGGGTGACCAGCTTTTGTATACATCGTCAAAGAAACTTCCCGCCAGTTTCCATAACTACGACTCCACAGCATTTTTCGTGTCATCGTCAGATCCAAAGCGCTTGCCACCAAGCTCGCGCTTCATGTGCAGGAACAAGTGATAGTCGGACGGCGCCAAGTCCGGGCTGTACGGTGGGTGATCGAACTGCTCCCAATGAAACTGTCGAATTAACGATTGAGCGACACCAGCAGTATGGGGCCGAGCATCGTCATGGAGCAACACAATTCCTTTACTGAGCATTCCTCTTCGTTTTATTTGAATGGCACGCCTTAGTTTCGTTAAAGTCTCACAATATCGTGCCGCATTAATGGTTTCACCTCTGGGAAGAAATTCAGTAAGCAAAACGCCTTTCCTATCCCAGAGGACAGTGTTTTTTGTGATGATATTGTCACTTTGAACTTTTGTTTTTTCGGAGAATGAGTGTGTCTCCAATCCATCGATTGTTGTTTCGATCTGGTGTGAATGACACACCCAAGTTTCATCACCTGTTCACAATTTTCGTTTAAAAGTTTTCTCCCTCATCACTGTACCGCGTGTGAAAGTCAGGGCACTACCAAGTCGCTTTGTTTGTGAACATCAGTGAGCATTTTTTGGAACCCATCGGGAACACAGTTTGCGATAATTCAGCGGTCAGACACAATTTCGAACAAACAGTACGTGAATTTGTGGAATGCCTCTGAAAGTGTTGTCATTGAAAGTGCGTCTGTTCTCATGAATTGCTTCATAACTTCCTTACCAAATCATCGGTGACAACAGAAGGCCGACACTCCGGCCTCGGGTGGGAAATTTTGTTCAACCTGCATTAAAATTCTTACCCACTTCTCACCATTCCATCACTTATCGCGTATTCACCGTAAACTTCTGTCACTTGACGATAAATTTCGGCCGGTTTAACTTCCTAGCGTTCAAATTTTAATCACGGCAAGAATCTCACAGTCAGCGGGAAACTAATTGTCTTAAACATTTGAATGTGCACAGCAAAACTGAAAAACACAGCATAGAGCAGCCAAAATGGCGACAATTGAAAGTCAGTGACACGAAAGACTAGTGCCATGCGCGGGATGCCTACCACAGCGCTGCGACGGCGCTAAAATGAAACGGTACTTAGTTTCCGAATACGCTGCGTATATATATATATATATATATATATAATAAGACGTAGTAATGTTGATGGCGTAGACCGTAGATACAAACTAAAGAGGAAGAATTGTGATTGCGTAGAATGCTAAATTGTTAATTCCGTAATCAATTACAAATTTGGCAGTCGAAGCAGATTAAATCTTCACTTTTATTTCAATTGACATTTGCAGTCACAATTCACCGGGATCTCTAATCGTGCCTATTAAAAAATATTTTTGATACTGTTGCGATAGAAAAACAGCAGAACGAAAATGCCTCCAAGTGGCAACAAAGGTAGAAGCAGAAATGCTCAAA